AGATCTCAGGTAAATTTGCAAAAGGCAGGCTGGTGTACTGGTAATGAACAGGTTTAGCACCATGTAAACCAGGGTTCGAAACCCAGCAGAGTCAGTTCCTCACACTTTTATTGGTTTGATTAGATTTGAAACTAGTAGTTTTTGATTTGGTTGTTGGATCAGTATTTTTACATACAGTGCAACGTTTACATTTGTAAAAGCCCTTTGCCCCATCTAAAAAAGTATGATTAATATTTTTAATTTCTTTGGTGTAATTGTTAGTTAAAATGGATCTAAAATTAGGTGCCCCTCTAAAAACAATTTTCGGCTGTATTGGTAGGATTTCTTTGAGCAGATCATCTTGTCTTAAAAGATGCCAATGTTTTTTGACTGTTTTTTTAATAAAACCACTTTTGTTGTTATAATTAAAAATTATAGGAAGATTGGGGGCTTCTAAAATATTTTTATCCTTATACATTAAAAGGCTTTCTCTAGGTTTGTTTCTAACTGTATCTATAGTATTGTCCAAAAGGGTACAAGAATAATTCTTTTCAATAAATTGCTTCTTTAAAATCAATGATTGTTCATTAAAGTCATTTATTTGAGAACAATTACGGCGTATTCTCAAGAATTGGCTTTTAGGAGCGCTTTCAAGCCATGGTTTATAGTGGCAGCTAGTTTGGTCAATTGCAGTGTTAGTACATACTTTCTTAAAAAAAGTTTTCGTATGTACTTTGCCATCTTTGATAAAAATATTTAAATCTAAAAAATTAATTGAATTTTTGCTATATTCGCAGGTTAAAATGATACCTCTATTATTAAAATTAAGATGAGATATAAAAGAGTTCAAACATTCTTCAGAACCCTTCCATATAAAAAACAGATCATCTATATACCTAAAATAGGAGACCAGATTATGCTCCCAGGCATGCCGACCCCAAATGGCGGTAGTTTCCCAATCCGCCATGAAGAGATTGGCATAACTGGGAGCAAACCTGGTCCCCATAGCTGTCCCTCTCTTTTGGAGATAAAAAGAATCATAAAACCAAAAATAGTTGTTGTTTAAAATAATATTAATATCATCTACAATAAAATCAATCTGGGCGGCTGGAATTTTGTTTTCGTTTGATAAAATGGTTTTAACTGCGTTGTATCCAAGTTGATGAGGAATGATGGTATACAGAGACGTAACGTCACAAGAGACAAGTATAAAATCTGACTTCCATTTAAAACTATTTAAAAATCTCAATAGTGACATAGAGTCCTTTAAATAAGACCTCATTAATTTAACTGATGGCTGAAGTAAAATATCAATGTACTGGGATAAATTACACAAAGGGGAACCTATCCCAGATACTATCGGTCTTCCTGGAGGATGTTTAGCATTTTTATGTATTTTGGGTAGGAAATAAATGACCGGAATTTTGGGATTCTTAATAAGTAAGTAGTCAAATTCTTTTTTGGTCAAAATATTGTCATTAAGACCCTTTTGTAAAAAAGTGATTAGTTTCTGCTGTATATTCGAGGTAGGGTCTTTATTTAATTTTTCATATACTTCAGTGTCGTTTAATTGTTTATAAGCTTCTTTAATGTACATGTCAGTTGATTGAATTACAACACCTCCACCTTTATCGGCCGGTTTGATTACTATTTCTTTGTCCTCTTGGAGTTGTTTAATAGCTGTTTTTTCCAATGCATTTAAATTTTGGGTATCATATTTGCTAAATTTAATTTTGTTAAGATCTTTCAAAACAGATTTTTCGAACATCACCAAAGGGGCTGATTTAAAATGATATGGATAAAAAGTAGATTTAGGTTTAAGATTTGTATTAATAAAAGTAGATTGATCCGTAGGTGTAAGGGAATGGGAAAGGGGAGGGTTAGTGTCTGAGGTCTGTGCTTTAAAAAATCTTTTTAGCGTAGCCTTACGTACAAACTTATTTACATCTAAAAATGCTTCAAAAGGTTTAAAAGAATTAGTTGGGGCATATTTTAATCCTTTTAATCCTTTTAAGGATTAAAATATGCCCCAACTAATTCTTTTAAACCTAAATCTACTTTTTATCCATATCATTTTAAATCAGCCCCTTTGGTGATGTTCGAAAAATCTGTTTTGAAAGATCTTAACAAAATTAAATTTAGCAAATATGATACCCAAAATTTAAATGTATTGGAAAAAACAGCTATTAAACAACTCCAAGAGGACAAAGAAATAGTAATCAAACCGGCCGATAAAGGTGGAGGTGTTGTAATTCAATCAACTGACATGTACATTAAAGAAGCTTATAAACAATTAAACGACACTGAAGTATATGAAAAATTAAATAAAGACCCTACCTCGAATATACAGCAGAAACTAATCACTTTTTTACAAAAGGGTCTTAATGACAATATTTTGACCAAAAAAGAATTTGACTACTTACTTATTAAGAATCCCAAAATTCCGGTCATTTATTTCCTACCCAAAATACATAAAGATGCTAAACATCCTCCAGGAAGACCGATAGTATCTGGGATAGGTTCCCCTTTGTGTAATTTATCCCAGTACATTGATATTTTACTTCAGCCATCAGTTAAATTAATGAGGTCTTATTTAAAGGACTCTATGTCACTATTGAGATTTTTAAATAGTTTTAAATGGAAGTCAGATTTTATACTTGTCTCTTGTGACGTTACGTCTCTGTATACCATCATTCCTCATCAACTTGGATACAACGCAGTTAAAACCATTTTATCAAACGAAAACAAAATTCCAGCCGCCCAGATTGATTTTATAGTAGATGGTATTAATATTATTTTAAACAACAACTATTTTTGGTTTTATGATTCTTTTTATCTCCAAAAGAGAGGGACAGCTATGGGCACCAGGTTTGCTCCCAGTTATGCCAATCTCTTCATGGCGGATTGGGAAACTACCGCCATTTGGGGTCGGCATGCCTGGGAGCATAATCTGGTCTCCTATTTTAGGTATATAGATGATCTGTTTTTTATATGGAAGGGTTCTGAAGAATGTTTGAACTCTTTTATATCTCATCTTAATTTTAATAATAGAGGTATCATTTTAACCTGCGAATATAGCAAAAATTCAATTAATTTTTTAGATTTAAATATTTTTATCAAAGATGGCAAAGTACATACGAAAACTTTTTTTAAGAAAGTATGTACTAACACTGCAATTGACCAAACTAGCTGCCACTATAAACCATGGCTTGAAAGCGCTCCTAAAAGCCAATTCTTGAGAATACGCCGTAATTGTTCTCAAATAAATGACTTTAATGAACAATCATTGATTTTAAAGAAGCAATTTATTGAAAAGAATTATTCTTGTACCCTTTTGGACAATACTATAGATACAGTTAGAAACAAACCTAGAGAAAGCCTTTTAATGTATAAGGATAAAAATATTTTAGAAGCCCCCAATCTTCCTATAATTTTTAATTATAACAACAAAAGTGGTTTTATTAAAAAAACAGTCAAAAAAATTGGCATCTTTTAAGACAAGATGATCTGCTCAAAGAAATCCTACCAATACAGCCGAAAATTGTTTTTACAGGGGCACCTAATTTTAGATCCATTTTAACTAACAATTACACCAAAGAAATTAAAAATATTAATCATACTTTTTTAGATGGGGCAAAGGGCTTTTACAAATGTAAACGTTGCACTGTATGTAAAAATACTGATCCAACAACCAAATCAAAAACTACTAGTTTCAAATCTAATCAAACCAATAAAAGTTATAATATAAAAGATTTCATCGGGTGTAATACTACAAACGTTATTTACTTACTGGAGTGCCCTTGTGGCCTCCAATACGTGGGTATGACCACCAGATGTCTAAAGATAAGACTAGCAGAACATTGCAGGAATATACAAAATGGATATCTTAATCATTCTGTATCTAAGCATTTTATTAATCATAACCAAGACCCAAAATTTCTCAAATGTTTAGGAATCCAAAAATGTCAAATATCTTGGAGAGGTGGAAATATAAAAAATATTCTTGGTAGATCAGAGATGGAATGGGTATTTTATTTACAGACCCTAACACCCCAAGGTCTAAATGTAGACTTTGACTTATTTAATTTTTTATAATTTTTGTAATTGTACTGTTCCTTTTATTTTTTTTTTTAAATTCTTTATTTTTTATTGTGCGTTGAAAGAAATACATGCAAGCTCGTGGTGCCCCAACAGCATTCCTCGAGCATATTTTCAAGCATAACAGTAGGAGCAGTAAGATAATCAGCAGATTTTTGTATAACAACAGTAGCTTAACATTAATATTCGGTATGACTGCGTTTTTGCATGGTTGAGAACCCAGTATCGGCCCGCGTTTACGGCCACAGTTAGCTATATATTAAATGGCGTCCAAAGACTTCCGTGTGGCTAGGCTATCTAGCTCTGCCTCAGGTTTGGGAGCATCAAAACAATCCTGCATCGCCTTTATGCCATGCTGTACAATAGAGGGCTTGTGTGGGCCCGCTCGGCTAGTGCCCTTTTTTCGGCCGGCTATTTATTCTGGATAAATTAGTGGCATGGTGGTGGCTGAAATAGTGTGTCCAGCATTTCTGAGGGCTGGGCTCATACATTTATGTTCAGACTTAGGGTGCTATTCCTGCTAGGCTTATGAGACACAATCTTATACATTGCATGATATTAGCTAATAGAGTACATCACATGTCTGAGTTACTGCATTATTTACTTTGATGTAGATTACATTACCCAAACCTAAGCAGACACAGAGTTGGGTTTTCAATGTTAGACTTCTAATCGCAGGTTAATCCTGCTGAGAGAGGTTATGGGCACTTATGCAGGTTGAAGCGATGCAAGAAAAGGAAAGTGCTTAAGAAATCATATAACATGGCAAATCTGGTACAGATAAAATTAAACAAAAGTATGAACAATGTACACGCTGAGTGTGGATGTCGGAGCCTTATTCTGCTGACTGTTACAATGTCCCGTGAAGAGGTTAATTGTATAGAGGTGGCTCCAGCTCCACATGTCACTCTGGTTGATCCCTTTCAGCCTATGCCCTCAGGGTATACCGGACTGTCCAGCATGGTGGTGCCTCGCCAGGCAGCGGCTCTCTCAGTTGGTGGGGAGATGTCTTGCCCCGGACGGCCTAGGGAGCGGCTCAGAGGTGGCCGCGGTGGTTTCTCCATGTAGCCCAGGACAGGTGGCAGTACGTTGGGGTTCGGTACATCACGGCAGCGGTGGGCAGGGTACCTGTCCGCGGCTCGCTGTCTCAGCCGGTAGTGTTGTTTCCGCGGCTTCCGTCGCTTTAGTGTAGTCGGAGTAGTGTGGGGTAGCTGTCGGCCCATAAGAGGCCTCCCAGGCCGCTCCTTATTTCTTACACTGTCTTCCTGACCGGGCTCCCGTGTGGCTATTGCTTGCCTTGAACGGTTGAGCAGCATGGCCCAAAACTTGTCGATTATGGCTCCCAGAGTATCCATTACTTTGGTCTTAGGGCCTGCTGAGTCAGGTTGTGGCAGTATCAGACCTCGTGTTGTAGAGCCTGGTGCCTCCGCCATCTTGAGTGACTCCCTTCCCGTGTGGCTAGGGAGGTTTGCAGGGCTCACAGAAGCGTCCGCGACTGAGGCAGCTTGGGTTCTCGAGGACCGGGATAACCCCCACCGGTCCAGAGGGGGGGGGGGAGGGAGGTGATTTGGTAGTGCTCCCTTGTCAGCCAGAGAACCGGGAGAGCGGCCGTCTCTCCTCGGCTCCCACCCGCACAGGCCGCAGGTCACGATTTGGTCCACCCAGCACCGGAGAGCCAAGTGTCGGGTATCTCCGGTTGCAGTGCAGTCTCCTTGTCACGATTATTGCGTTGAACAGTCGATGTGATCAGGTGGTCAGGTGTAAGACCCAGAATCTCGGCTCCAGACTCAGGAGCTCTCGACATGTACGTCTAGTCCGCTTGTTAGTCAGGCTCCGCCCCCCCCTGTTCCTTTTATTTTTATTTTTATTTTAAATATTTTACTCTCATTTATTTGTCTTTTATAAATATGGTTCTATTATAGTGACCTATCAATTCAAACCAGCTGCTCCTTTTTTTATTATTGATTTATTTATTCTTGCAATTCATTTTATTTTGGCTGTACCTATGTCCTTTTTCTTTTTTATCATTGAGGCAGATCTATTATATATCTTGTACATATTACTTTTAAACTGTATTTATCTCTTAAGTATTGTATTTTATGTGTTTTATATATATAAGCCTAATACTACCAATCCCATAATTCCCACGGCTTCGGTCACGTGATGTAACATAGCTCCAATACCCGCGGGTCACGTGACACAGCTCGATCCCACCCTGCTGCCCGTGCGTGCCGTCTCTCCCTGCATTGGCCGCACGGACAGCTTATAACCTGCCTATTACTTGCGGTCACGTGACCCATGCACTACAAATCCCATGGTGCTTAGCGGGTCACGTGACGCACGCGATCTATTCTTTTTAGGTTTATATAATATAAAAAAACGCTCGTTTTTATATTACAAGTATATGAATATTATTGTAACATTTAATATATTTCTGATGTACATTTTTTTTAAACTTTTGATTGTATATGTTGTATTTGCAATTTGTATAGCCCTAATTGGTGCTCAATTTTGGCGCCAATTTTGAATTCATGCATAAGTTATATATACTCCTTATGTGCCAGGTAATAGTCTTATCCCAATTTGATAAAGCCTTTCAGGCGAAACGCGTTATTGGTTCTATATTCTATATTAAATAAATTACTTTATATTATTTATCCTTTTTACTATTTTATCTTCATTCCACTGTTCCTGGCATATCCTAAGGTGGGGATTATACCACCCATGCGAAAATAGAGTGCAGAAAGGACTGCACTCTACTTGTGAGTATATTTTATTTATTTTTAACTCTTTCTACCAACTACCTCATCAGAGAGCACTATTTGCTGTTTTTCTCTCTTTCTGAGAATTGGACATCGGCACTCCCCAGGAGGACAAGCACCCCCATAAGCGGAGGGTTATCCGCTGTATGCCCATCATACTAGAGCTAGTCCTAGCTCATGGAAATGTGAGTGCACAATTTATATTTTAAATTCACTACCACTTATTTATACTATCTGCACGACTGGTTTTTTCCCATTGTGTCTTTCATATCGTGAGACGGACAACTACTAACAAAGAAGACACCATACCAGTTTGGACAACTTGTAATATTGGAACTCTTTCATATTATAATTTTAAACTGGGACTTTCTTTTATTACTTTTTATTATTCTATTTGGCGCAGCCTTTTCCTTGTTTTTTTGTATACTTTCGCTGGCCAAAGTTAGCGGTTTTATTTGTTTTTGTATAAATGTTTTATTTTAATTTTTTTATATATATATATATATATATATATATATACACACACACAATACGTGTGTGTGTGTGTGTATATATATATATATATAAGTATATATATATATATACACACACACACATATACACACACACACACACTTTTATTTCCAATATATGTATAATATATTATAATTAAATCATTTTATAAGATATTATACATATATAATGAATCTATGATTTCATGATAAGTGTATTTTGAGATATATATCAAAGTACACTTATGATGAAATCATATAGATGCATTATATATGTGTAATATATTATAAAATGATTTAATTATTTTATAATTTATTACACATATATAATATAGACACTCCTCACTTATCGACCAGGTTCCCTTCCTATGACCTTGTCGTAGAACAAATTGGTCGGTAAGTGAGGAGTTAAGGGATTCCCTGCTCTGGTGCATTTGTCTATGTTCGGGTAAACTTCCCCGAACGTAGACGTACGGGCCAGAGCAGGGAATCCCTCTAATCTATCTTCAGGGACATTTCCTCAGACATAGATTGAAGGGATTCCCTGCTCTCGTGCGTTCGTCTATGTTTGGGGAAGTTTTCCAAAACATAGACATACGCACCAGAGCAGGGAATCCCCATGCACTAACGCCTACATATTACAACAATGATAACATCAGTGAAAGTGCCCTTTGTGTGTGAAAAACGCAAAAAACTTCTCTTTCACTGACCATATCATCGCTGTGATATACGTTACTGTTTTGAAACACTAATATTTGTGTTCAGCGAAGTCTACCGAATAAAACAGTACCCCCCCTCACCCCCCTATGTAAAAGTTTTAGGGTGTCTAGAAAAGTTACAGGGTTAAATGTAGTGCTAGCAAATTAAATTCTCTGGACTTTTGGCCTGGGTTGTCAGGCAGGTCTCCCAAATTGCAATTAATAAAATGACTTATTTATGTAAAAATATTATATAAATATGTATATGAGAATTTAAAAATATATATACATATTTATATATTTGAAGTCTACGTGTATATTTATGAAATTATTTATGTAATTATGTATATGGACATATGTACATTTCGTATTATTTTTTATTTATTTATAACTACATAGGTATACAAATAATTTCATTCTAAATGTAGTTTGATATAAATATATATATATATATATATATATATTAATATCAAAATACAGTTAGAATAAAATTACACACATATATATATGTAAAGGCGGAGCCTGGAGTTGTGGGAGGGGCCAGTGCTGATATAAATACTCACCCTCGGCCCTATACTCCTCCTATGCTTTCATTCTATTTTGAGAGGGCTTTCACACGGGTATTGTAGCGTTACCATTCGGTATTACCAAAAGTAAAATAAGGGGGCGACCTATTGTCCTCCCCCCGGCCCCCACCCATGAGCGGTGGGTGGGGGTCCTAAATTAGAATAAGGGGGGGGACCTATTGTCCTCCCCCTGGCCCCCACCCCTGAGTGGTGGGTGGGGGCCCTAAATATTAATTAGGGGGACCTAATGTCTTCCCGCCTGGCCCCCACCCCTGAGCGGTGGGTGGGGTCCCTAAATCAGAATAAGGGGGACCCGCCGCTCAGGGGTGGGGGCCCTAAATAAAAATGTAACCCCCCAGGTGACTAGGGATCCCCAAACCACTAGTCACCCCCAATGCCCCCCAAAAAACTAACCCCTACCTACCCCACTCACCCTAAAAATAATGAGGGGGGCATTAACTAAGTACCTGTTAAAAAGATAAAATAAAACTTACCATTTGATGTTTTCTTTCTTCTAAAATCTTATTTTTTCAGCCCCAAAAAGGCCAAATAAAAATCCATAATATCCTTGTGGGGATATTTATGGTATGATAATATTATACAGTTGAGAATTGCCCACTATTTCAATCCTCTTAGATCTTAGAGAGCGTTATCATGTAAGTGAAATGTATTCCATACAAATAAAATCACAATTTGTTATAAAAATAGATATAATTTATTGTGACAAATAAAATAATAATAATATTAGGCAGCATGCATAATAATAATCAGTGAATATTTAGTATAACATAAGTATGTAATACAATGGCAATATTAAAACAATCCAAAGGCTAAAAGCATCAACTGTCAAAACGTAACAAGATTTCTGAGGGTACTTCACAGACACAGAAAGCTAAACTTCCAGCGAAAAGCCATAAAACCTTGGCTAACAGTTAGATCAACTGAGTAACCCTTTCAATGCTGGCTAGATCCTCCTAGGCATATAATATCCTATTCTCATGTAATTTTCAATAAAAAAAACATTCAAACCAGCTCATTAATCATTTCCTGGAACCATCCAATAAGAATAATCTACCAGATTTTTACAAAAGCCGAATTTAAGCGGTATGCTAACATGTGGTAAGATACCAGTACTATGTAATTATCTGACTCCACCTGCAGAATGGAGTGTTATAACTGCATATTCTTTAGTTAACTAAGATTTCTCAATTATTGAAATCTGACCGTGATTTATCCAGTCATATATCATGCTATTAGTAAATTTTTAATTAATTTAAATTAATTAAATAAAACCAGCATAATTACCAGTTATGTAGATGTTTTCATCAGAGGAGTAGGTAGTCCCAGGAACTTGAATGCGAGTACGATTGGTTGTATGGAGGTGTGTAAGTAATAGAGAAAAGTGATGTTGGGTAGAAAGTAATAGTAAAATTCTAAGTGTCAAGGAGTGTTTCTTGAGTTGTGTCCAAGAGAGTTTGAGGGTTAGTGCCAGAGTGTCCTGGATCTCTCTGCATTTCTGAATCTGAATGCCCAAACTAACCTTCTCTCTTCCCTTTGTCCTAACTTTTAAAAGGCCAGACTCTCTGTACGTCATTAGTTGATAAGGCCAATAGGAAACTGTAGGTGTGGTCAACCTGCAGATCACAATTTAGATATTTGATCCATAGAGGGCAGTCTCGCCTCACTAAACCTTCCTATCCAGGAAAGAGTTAACTTTTCCTTATGACGATTTTGACGTCATTTGGCTTATCTAAAATGACTACCATAACTTAAATTTGCTGTCAGTTCAAAGCGTTTGCCTCAGTCTTTGAGGCAACTACTTTGATCGTAATTTCTAAAATTGACAGTTCTAAACTCAATTTCACCCCTTACTTACAATGGGACCTTGTAAAATTTAGAGAGTAAAATTAATTACTTAGTCTTCTCTGTCACTAGTGTCTGTGTTTAAAATTATTTCTATTCCATTAACATTTAAACAGAGCATTCCATCCCCCTGCTTCATTGCTTATCACTTGGCTTGTTTACATATTGCATTCCTTAGCTCAGGCTAGTGGCTAGTTACAGAAAGGAAAGAAATTTTGTGTCTGTCTTGCCTGAAATCCAAAATGGAGTCCGCTCTGTTCTGAGTGACTCTGGCAATATACACTTTTAATTTCTATCTTAGCACAAAATGTCTGCCGATATAAGTATCCTGACAACCTACACACTTAAAAAAAAAAAAAACAACAAAAAAAATAATCTTCATCCATGGAGGGCTCCGCGCAGACTGAGCTCTGCAGGGCGGAGGAAGGCTTATAAAGGTGGGGCGGGGGAAGGCTCTGACAGGTAAATGAAGAGACTGACAGTCATCTGCCTGTCACAGCACTCTGATTGGTTGGCTTGAAATCACCAATCAGAGTGCTCTGTGTCATTTTACACAGCGGGGAAAGTTCTTTGGAATTTTCCCACGCTGTGTAAAATGACACAGAGCACTCTGATTGGTGGCTTAAGTAACCAATCAGAGTGCTATGAGTCACAACAGCGTGGGAAAATTCCAAAGAACTTTCCCACGCGTGCTCTGATTGGTGGATTTCAAGCCAACCAATCAGAGTGCTGTGACAGGTAAATGTAGAGACTAACCTGTAAGTCTCTTCATTTACCTGTCAGAGCACTCTGATTGGATGGCTTAAATCTACCAATCAGAATGCTCTGAGCCTAATTGCAGGGCAGGGCAGGGCTGGTCAGGGCAAGGCTTTATAAGCCTATCCCCATCCTGCAGAGCTCAGTTTGCGCTTGTTTTTTTTTGCGTCGGTTATTATGGCTTTTTATTTGGCTTTTTGGGGGCTGAAAAAATAAGATTTTATTCTGCAATAAATATTGATTAATGCAAGTGAGTATGTTCCCTATTTTGTCCTGCGGTAAGCTTGCCTGTATGGAAATAGAATCTAATTGGATGCCTAGGAAATTGATGATAGTGTTCGGGCCTTCTGTTTTCTTAGGGTATACTGGAATCCCTAAGTGGTCAAAAAGGCTAATGACTTCCCTGAGGTTACTTGGGGCAAAGGTGTTCTCTTCGACCATCAAAAAGTCATCTAAATAATGGATGACTGTGGGGCATCTGGTTATGTTCAGTAGTAACCAACATAGAGTCTCTGCAAAAATGTCAAAGATTTTTGGGCTACTCTTTGACCGAAAAGTTAAGCGTGAAAAAAATAGTAACTGCCTTCCCATTCAATGCCATGTAGGTGCCACCGTGTGGAATGTATTGGTAGTAGTTTAAAAGCGTTGACTATATCTGTCTTGCTTAACCATGCTACTACCCCCACTTTAATGATAGCTGTAATGGCAATGTCAATGGTGGGGTATTGTAGGGAAAACTCCTCTGAACGGATTAGTGAGTTGAGACTCGGAATTGCTGAGGTGTGAGGCGCTGACAGGTCAATGATTAGTCTTTGTTTTAAGGAGTTTTCCCTGTGACAACACCGATGGGGTTTGTCCTCCATGCAGTAAATGGTGGGGACTGAAAAGGCCCTAATAAGAAACCCTCAGCAAGTTCTTGTGCTATGAAAGTGTCTACAGCTGTGGGATTCTGCTGTGCTGATTGCAAGTTGTGGCATTCCTGGTTCCCTGAAGGCATGTGTATGATACTTGTATGGAAACCTTCTGAAAATCTTGATATTAGGAAATCCACCAAATATCTAGAAGGATGTGTCGACAGTAAAGCTGACAATGTATTAATGTTGACAGATGTTAAGTAAGGTTTTTGGTACATTTTATTCGCATGTGTACCAATGCAGGGTACTCTTTCAAACATATTATTACAGTCGCATAAATTTGGCAATTCGACAGTGGGTTGTAGGTTTTGTGAGTAAGGTTC